CTAAGTTCCTTGAACATCCTTATAACCATTCTTTTGAACTCTGTATCTGGTAGGTTACTTGCCTCCATTTCATTTAGCTCTTCTTTTGCAGTTTTCTCCTGTTCTTTCATTTGGGATGCATTTCTTTGTTTCCTAATTTTGGCTGTCTCTCTGTGTTTTTTTCTATGTGTTAGGTAGAACATCTGCTATGTTCTCTCAGTCTTGGCCAGGTGGCCTTCTGTAGTAGGTGACCTGTGGGGCACAGTGGTACAGTCTCTTTGGTCACCTGTGCTGGGATTTCCAGTAGTGTCCCTTGTGTGGGTTGTGTGTGCCGTCCTGTTATAGTTGAGACTTGATTGCTGTTGGTGCTTCAGTGGGTGGGATTGACTCTCAGGCTTACTGGCAATGGTGTTTGGCCATGTCCATATCTTATGGGTTGCTCTGTGTGTGTGCGTGGGCTTACCCCACAGACTCACTCCAGTGGGCTCTGGTGCCTGCTGAGACCACTCTTTGGGTGTGCCACTTGTGGAGCTAATTGAGTGGTTCTCTGCTGTGGTCTGAAGCTGACCTCCAGGTAAGTTGGTCCTGGGGTCTCTTGGGAGGGGCTCTGGTACAGGTCCTGGTCAGCCACTGCCTGTGACAGGACAGGGACTACCTGGTAGGAGCTACAAAGTGATCTGTAGTTGGTTGTTGCCTGTGCTGGACCTGGAAGCACATGGGAGAGGCCATGAACTGAGGTGTGAACCAGGACAGCTGCACTAGTACAGGGTCTGGGGTAGCTTCATAAAATGCACAGAGCACCTCAAGTCCTGCTGCCACCTGCTGGCTCCTGTAAGGTTTAGCTACTGATAGAACCTGGGGTGGTCCAGGAGTTGGGTCAGTCAGAGTCTCAGTGAACAGACTCACCAGACCAATTCAGAGTCAGATTTGGCCATGGGTGTCAGGGGAGGGCTCAACACAGGAAAGATGGTGCCTGCTTGTCAGCTGCATGGAAGAAGGACCCCACACAGGAAAAATGGCCACTGTCCCTTCAGTTCTTGCCCCAAAATCATACAACTCAGTCTCTCCCTGTATCTCTCTGACCTCCCACCACCACCCCATGTCACTGTCCCTCTGCCAGAGCCCAGGGTGAGTGCTTGTAAGTGAGTGAGTCTGTGTGCTGGCCCTTTAAGAGAAGTCTGTGCCTTGGCCCTTTAAGCTGTTTTTCCTGCAGCCTTCTGTCCCACAGAATCCCCACTGTTTTTCACAGCCAGTTGTGGCGGCTCTTCTTCCCGGCACCAGTATTCCAAGCTAGTGAGCCTGGTGTGGAGCTGGGGTCCCTCACTCCTCCCGGGGGGACCTCCACAACAGAGATATCCCTCCTGAGTCTTAACTTCCACAGAGGTGTGGAGCCAGCCTGTTCCACATCTCCACCCCTCCTACCAGTTTCAACGTGGCTTCTTCTTTATATCCTTAGTTATAGGATTTCTGTTCAGCTAGACTTCAGATGGCTCTCTAGGTTAATTGTTCTATAATTTAGTTATAATTTTAATGTGTTCACAAGAGGAGGCAATCACAGTGTTTATGTCCTCCACCATCTTGGATCCTTGATCTAAGTTGATTCTTGGGTCATAGGAGTCAGCTATGTGGTGTGAGGGTGGTGACATGGTCCAGCCTTGCAGGGACAATATCTCTGTGGTATGAAAGTCTGTGAAGGTGCTGAGAACTTGCATGTGTGTTAGTATGACCCTGAGTTCTGCTGTGGAGGAGGTTAGTGCTAGCAGGTAGGGATGGAAAGATGAGGATGGGTGAGATCATAGAAAATGTTATGAACCAAACCAAAGAGCTTTGGATTTAGGATTTATCCTGAAGGCTACAAAGATTCATTAGGTATTTTAAAGATGGGGCTAACTTGTTCATGTTTGCATTTTAGCAAGATTGCTCTGGCATAAAGAATAAATGGAGGGAGATAAGACACTTAAAGTGGGGAGAGCACTTATTGGAAAGCAGAGGTTATTACTTCTATTTTATAATTGATAAAATTGAAGCTTGGAGAGATGGTGAGTTGTCAAGTTCACATGGTAGGCTGTAGATCTACCTTTGAACTGCTAGTCCAGTGTTTTTTCCAAGATTATAGTTTCCATTACTCTTCTTCATGGCATATGGACTTCAGACAAATGCATAACTTACTATTACTCCCATGCCTCTTCAATCCTCTTTTCCTGCAATACCCACTGTCCATATATGTCAGTTCAAACCCTAGCCATTGAAGAGGGCCTGTCTCAGTGGCTATTTTTTTCTAGGATGCCTGTTTTGATCTTCCCAGTGAGAAGTAAGCTCTTCTTCTTCTGAATGCCAATGGTAGTTTAACTAAACTTTTCTTTTGTCACTTAACGTGTACTGCTTTGTTTACATGACTTATCCTCAGAACTCAAATTCAAATTCTTTGAGACAGAGGTGGTAGAGGTCCCTATTAATTTATCTTGGGCTCCTTACAGTATCCCCCATCATGGCCTGTCCTCTTGGGCTAAATACTGTTTATTGAATGCATGGATAGATGGTGCACTGGGGAGGGGAACTTCTTCCCCTGAGATAGGAGGGAATGAAGAAGGGTGGGATCTTGAAGCCTGAGGAGGGATGTTGAAGGACTCAGCAGATGCCCTCCATACTTGTGAGAGGCAAGGTTTGGGGGTGGTGAAGAGTGTGAGCTTTGGAGTCAGCCCAATCTGGGTTCAAGTCTCTGCCCTGACACTTACTGGCTGGGTGAGAGTAAGGTGGGTGGGGTTATGTGCTCCAGGAGAGCAGAGAGGACCTGGAGGGGCATCTTTGGGGACACACAGGGAGTGTCCACAATGGAAAAAGGCTTGTAAATGGCTGTGAGACCATAGCTGAGGTTAGAGAGTGGGAGTTTGTAGTGGGCTGTGACTTCTTTCCTTGGTATGGGGATCTTGGGTGACTGTCAACTATTTCCCCAGAGCCTGATGCTGGATGGCCAAGCCCCCATGGAAGCTCAGTATGCAGAGGAGGACCCAGGACCCGGGGTCTTCAGATCAGAGCCAGAAGACCCACTGCAGAGGCCCGAGGACCAGCAGCAACCCAGTAGGGCAGACTGAACCATAGGGGGATGAGGGGTGGGGGGCAGTGAAGGGATAATCTTCCTATAGCCCCCAGATTCTCTTCTTCCCCGATCATCCTTGGGTCAGCCCAAGTGATTGATGGTGAGAGGCCATCTTGTTATTTATCTGAGAACTGCTTTTGCTCTCTGCTTTCCAGTTTGGGGACTGAGTGGGCTCTGTGGGCTTCAGGAGTGATGGGGCAGGGGGAAGAGGGCAGGTGCAGCAGGGCTAACTCCTGCTGTAGCTCAGTGGCCGCCTGGTCCCACAGTAGTGCCACAGGGCGGAGTGAGGCTGGCAGACATGAGCAGCACACCCACACACTGCTCTATTGCCCCCTACAGTCTCTCCGGTGGGGCGCTGGTGCTCCAGGCGGTGTGGCTGTGTGGTGCTGGGAGCCCTGGCGCTGCTGGCTGGCGTGACTGTTGGCTCATGGCTTCTAGGTCAGTGCTGGGACCCTTCAGTGGTCTGGGGAAGGACAAAGAACAAGATCTGGGGGGTGCTGGAAGAGAGGAGCGGGTGAAGGCAGTTGTTAAAGACAGATGGGCAAGTGTCTTTCTCATCTACACGGAGCGGACAAGGAGAGATGGAATGAGAGAGTCAGGCTCTACATAAGGACATTCTAGTCCTACAGTGAGAAGTGCAAGGTACTGAAATGGGTGAATCAAGGGGACCCTGGTCAAACTTTTTCTAGAAATCTTTCCCAGTCAGAGACAGAGACAGAGACAGCGACAGACATAGAGACAGAGTAACAGAGAGAGCGCTGTGCTTCTCCTCAGTGTGTTTGGGGGCAGGCGGACGGCAGGGGGGCTGCTTAAGGCAGGTGATTGATGAGGAGGCTGCTTTGGCTTCCCTTGACCGCAGGTGTCTTGTTCTGCCCTTCGTTTCCCTCCTTTGAGAGGCCCTCCCTTCCCCCAGCCTCTTCTCTCTGAACTTCTCCATGTCCTTGTTCTCTGAAGTGCTGTATCTGTGGCCAGCTGCCTCTCAGCCCATTCCCGGGACCTTGCAGGATGAGGACATGACTTTGAGCTGCTCAGAGGCCAATGGCGAGGAAGCCCTGCTCCCCTCACTTTCCAGAACAGGTAGGCCACACCCCCTAGGCTACAAGACTCCCACCCCAGCCCTGGGCCCCTTCACTGGACTCCACTTCTGGCTGGGAGCAGGAAGACCAAAAGGGCTATGACTTTGCTGCCACCCTTCTGGTGTGAGGGTGGCGACATGGTGCAGGCTCGCAGAGCTGATCTCTGATTTGGGGCTTTCAATGCTCCTTGGGGACTGTCTGGATCTCTAGCTGGGGCATGGCCAAGAGCTCAGGCTGTCAGGAGAAGTGGCAACTTGCCGTTTGGGGCAGAGTGAGCCAGCAGTGGAGGAGGAAGAGAAGCCAGGTGTGTGGGAAGACAGTGTGTGACCGGCATTTTTCATCCAGTGGCTACCTAAAGGGCTAGGAACATCACTGCACATTATCACTCCCTTTCCCCAATGTTGTCCTTTCCTCTCCAGGTAGGAGTGGAGGATCAGAAGGTGTGATGCTGCCGAGGCTGGGGTTAGAATCAGTTACAGAAGTTAGAATTAGCTTGGAGCCTGCCTTTTGCTAGCTGTGTGATTTTGGGCACATTACTTCTTTGAACTTCCAGTTTCTTCTTTATGAAATGAAGATAAAAATATTTACCACATGAAGTGGTAAGGATAATATGAGCTAATGTATAAAAGAGCTTAGCACAGGGTCTGGAAAAAAGCAGACACCTAATAAATAGTAACTATCACTAGTATCTGTCACAAGTTTTGAAACCAGAGGAGATGGACTTAGTCCTGGACCCATCGCTTGCACATTCTGTGATCTTAGACACGTCATTGAACCTCCATGCCTTAATTTTTCTTCTGCAGAATGGGGAGGATGATAATACTCACCCCACAGGGCTGCCATGACAATGAGTGACAGATCACATTTAAAAGCATTTGGTTAAAACACAAGGCTGAAATGCTGCACAGAGGGTTATTTTGTTCTCAGATCCGGCCTAAAGCCCTGAGAAACAGGGAGCCTGATGCTGGGTGACCCAGACACTATCAGTAAGGTCTCCTCAGGTCCCACACTGACCAGGTCCCGCTCCCCATGCCCACCCGCAGCAGGTGGGATGTGGCTTTCATGCCATGGTTTCAGTGTCTTTCAGAATAAACACTGAGGACTTGCTGGAAGTGCAGGTGAGGGCCCGGCCAGACTGGCTCCTGGTTTGCCATGAGGGCTGGAGCTCTGCCCTGGGGCTGCGGATCTGCCGGAGCCTTGGGCATCTCAGGTAACTGGGACCATACCTGGAGCCTGCGGAGGGTGGAAGCCTGGTGGTAGTGGGAGGGAAGGTGGAGACCTCCATCTGCCTGTCACGTTCCAAGCGCTCAGGGAATGGCAAGAGGTCATTTTGGTCATCTCCTGGCCTCTGGGCACAATGGTGCCCCAGCTGGTGTCTCTCCCTTGAGCAGCTCTGCTTTTTAGAAAACATAAATCCCAGATGACGTGATTGTCGCAGACTTGCTCAGCCATTATCTTGGTGCAGTGTTGCATGCATGTTCCAGTTATTAAGCACCACCTCCCATGCTACAGTTTAACACTGATTTCCTCCTGTTCAATTCTCTTCTTCTGCCAAGACTCACTCACCACAAGGGAGTGAAGCTGTCTGACATGAAGCTCAACAGCTCCCAGGGGTTTGCTCAGCTCTCTCCTAGACTGGGAGGCCTCCTGGAGGAGGTGTGGCAGCCCAGGTAGGACTTCTGAGGAGGTCGAGTGGGGTCCCTTACTTTCTGGTGAACATTCTGGCAAAAATCTCCCTGTCATGGGAGCCTGGTGGCGAGGACATCAGTGGTGTAAGATAAGAGGACAAACAGGAACATTTCCCAATCAGAAATTACACGAACTGAGTTCCGTGAGCCTGTCTATCCAAGTTTTACATACGTTACCTAACTTGCCCCCCTGCAAGAGCTGCTGGGTGGGTTCTTATTATCACAGCATTTAACATGGCACTCTTATTCCCACTTTCCAGGTGGGTAAACTGAGGCTTGATGAGGTAAAGGGCTTTGTCCAAGGTCACAGAACTAATAAGCAGCCAAACCGGGTCTTGAAACCAGGCTCTTGTCTCCAAACTGCGTGCTCTCCGACCCTTGGCACATTTTATTTGAATACTTCTGGCGTCTCAGGAAAGAGATGGTTGACTTGTTCTGGTTAAGAACTGCTTGGAACCCGGAGACCCTCCAGAGAAGAGGACGGGGCAGGCCTTTCCCCAAATCCTGGGGGTGGACACAGGCTGAGAGGGTCTTCGCTCTGCCTGGGCTCCCTCTAGCCGCCCAGCAGCTGCCTGGGCGGGCTGGCATGGGCGTCCCATCACCAGCCTAAAGCCTTCTTATCTCTTACCACTTTTCCTGTCTCAACCGTTCCCTCAGGCCCGGCCTATCTAGCTCCTGTCCTCTGAGGATCCACCATAGGAACATGGGGAGACTTGGAGTGCTTCCCTATCTTAGAGACCTAAATAGACAAAGGGAAGAAGGGGTGGGACTGACTCTGCCAGCAGAGTATTTGGGAAACTAGAAGAAACTAAGGATCCAGGCATCGGGCTATTGGGGCCAAGAGGTGAATGAAGAAAAAGAAGAGGGCTTTGGTCCAAAAGGAACTGAGGTTTATGCTAAGGAAGAGCAGAGGAAAGAGGAGAGTAAGGATGTGGCTATGCAGGGCCTGGCAAAGGGCCTGGGGTAGAGATTAGAGTAAGCGTAGGTAGGAGCGTGGGCAAAAGTCCTGTACACTCACCTCTCACTTATTCACTCGTCCGCTGAACACACATTCACTCAGGGACCCTCAGGGGGAGCAGCTGGGTTTCCTCATTTATGAATACTTGATTTATAACTTTGGGCCTCACCCAAATTGACCCTCGAGGGCCATGACGTCTGGCTGGTGTTTCTGGGCGATTGGGCAGCATGCACACTGTTGCCCTCACCTGTTATGAGGAGGGACCTAGGGGTGTGGGTGGGGGTGGGAAGCAGATGGCTATGGCTACATGAGAGGCTCCCTCTGACCCCACTCTCCCTCCAAGCCCTCGGGTGGGTTCTCATTCTTGAGTGGGTCCCTGCCCAGCTGCTTGCTGGCCCCTCTGTTTTGCAGGGTCAACTGCAGTTCTGGACAAATCGTTTCCCTCAAATGCTCTGGTGAGTCATGTCTTGGATCCAGGCAAGCAGCTGTGTGAGGAAGGAGTCTCCCCACCCCCACCCACTGCCCTATGTATAGAAGAGCCCCACAGAGAGGCTCAGCTGGGCCTGGGATGGGGTTCCTTGTCCACCTGCCCATCTGCTCGCCAGGCCCCTTCTTGCAGACATAGTTCGGTCCAAACAGAGCCCTGAGTCTCCATCAGGTTCCTCACCGGTCGGGGCAGATGATCTCTTTGCTTTACTACCTGACACTACCTGCCTTGCCTTTAGACACTAACTACCCCTTTCTTCTGGAGAGCCCCAAAAGTGGAATTATTACTGGTTATTAGCCAGTTAACAATTTGAGGAGATTAAGGGGGGGTAGTGAACTAAGGGTCAAATGGTAGTCAGTGCTGTTCCTTTCATCTGTCTTCCCATGCATCTATCCATTCTTCATCGGTCCTTCCAAACATTCATCCACACACCGACATTTGGACCCTTCCTGTGGGACAGGCATTTTGTTAGATATTGAGACTCCATAGATAACACAGCCATAGTACCTGCTCTTATTGAGCTCACAGCCTGATGGGGCCGACAGATGTGTAACCAACATTTCTACTTTCCAGAGCCCCATCCTTAGGACCAGGAATAAGAAATGAAAGCAATCCACACTGGGCCACACTTGCTGAATGATAGGACTGTGCTGATACCCACCTCTCTTTCTTTCCATCTCATCTGTGCTTCTCTGTTTGCAGAGTGTGGGGCAAGGCCGCTGGCTTCCCAGATAGTTGGCGGGCAGGCCGTGGCTCCTGGGCGCTGGCCCTGGCAGGCCAGTGTGGCCCTGGGCTTCCGGCACACGTGTGGGGGCTCTGTGCTGGCGCCATACTGGGTGGTGACTGCTGCACATTGCATGCACAGGCAAGTCTCGGGGACTGCTGGGGAGGAGAGTGCCTTAGTCACCTTTGCTATTTGGCCATCGGTACCTCCTGTATGAAATGTCCATGTCCAACTGTCTGCCTCCCCACGTCTGCTCCGAGTGGGCACGGTGATTTGTAAAATTCTCCCTGTTCGGTGCTAAGAACAGCGCCGCAAGAATAGCAGTAATCATAAAAATACTGATTCTTTATATTGTTCAGTTTTTAGGTTTTTAAAATGCTTCCACACTCACAGCACTCTCTGCTTCTTAATGTTTATCACCACTGTAATTAAATCACTTCCATGTAATTGTTTGTTTAATGTCTTTCTTCCCCTTAGACTGGAAGCTCTACAGGAGCAGGGACTCTCAGTCTTGTTTACCACTGAACCCCTTTGTCGATTTTTCCACTGCCTTGTCCGCATGGCCTAGAACAGTCCTGGAATACAGCAGGTGCTTAATAAATACTGGTTGGAGCAATGAAGGATGAATGATGAGTGAATGAGCTAGCTCTTTGGCCCTCTTCTCTTGGTGGTAAGCAGGGCAGATGGTGCAATCCTCATGTTACAGTGAGGAAACTGAGGCTGGGAGAGGTGAAATGACTCCCCATGGTCACATATAGTATGTAGAGACAGGGCTGATGGAAGTTTTGATGACTAGGCTTAGAGATATCACACAAGGCCCTTCGATGTTTGTTGTAAAATTTGGAGGGAGGCTCTGCAGGAGGGAAGGGGAATGGTAGTAGATGACCCATAGTGTTTCACTTCTCTATCCATCTCGACTTGAGCATTTGTTAAGCACCTACTGCATGCCCAGTGTCTTGCCAGCTGTGTGGGGTACTAAGAGGCATGGGTTCTGAAAATTTACTGCCTGGTGATGGGGGCCCCCACTAACAGCCTCTCTGGCCAGCTTCCTCCAACCACCTCACTTAATGTCAACCTCTTCTGCACCCTCTCCCCCGGGCTCAGCATAGCTCCTGTGTGCAGTTTCAGGCTGTTCCGCCTGTCCAGCTGGCGGGTCCATGTGGGGCTGGTCAGCCACAGTGTGGTCAGGCCACACCAGGGGGTTGCGGTGGAGAGGATCATCCCTCACCCTCTCTACAGCGCCCAGAATCACGACTACGATGTCGCCCTCCTGCGGCTCCGGACACCACTCAACTTCTCAGGTGAGGCACTGGCCTTGAACGGGAAGGAGGGGCTGTGGTGTGAGAGGAGCAGGCATTGGGAGGGCTGAGAGGAGAGCTGATTTCTAAGGTTTCCTCCTAGGGCTCTAAACTGTAAAGTAGTCAGTGACGGTAATGAACGTTGGCATCAGCTGGACCTGAAGTCACACCAGCTTTTTTACTTGCTCTTTTGGAAACAAGGCTCTGGCCCTCTTCACAGCTGGGCTGCAGGCAGGGTTTGCCTTGAGGTCCCAAGCTGAGCTTTAATTACTCCATCTACCAACAGCCCCTTCACGCCTGTCCCCTGGCTGGTCTCGTTCGTGTCCCAGCTACCTCGGGCAGTGTTATAGTTAATATGATTTCTTTTATTTTTCCAAATAATCTTCCACTAAATCCTCATAAGAACCCTGGCAGGCAGATGAGGCAGGTATATACAGGTAAGGATACCGAGTTCAGTGAGGGAAGTGACTCATTTTTTTTAAGTTCATGGGGCAAACAGTGCCCGAGCTTGGTGTGCTGACCCCAGGTCCCGGGCTTCTCCTCCATCGCATCTGTCCTGGAAGGGTGACTCCTCAACACGCATAGACCCATGCATGTGCCCGTACAAATGCGCACACTCACGGAAACTTACACATGCACGTGCAATGCTCACACAAGTGCACATGCACCCTCACTCTCATGCACACACGCTCACACCATATGCACTCGTGTCTACACACACACTCATCCGTAGCACTCCTCCCTTGCATTGCAACCTGTTGGATTTCCTGAACAACAGTTGTTGCTCTGTGCCGTTCACAAATTTTATCATATGGGGCACTCGGAATTGTTCAACAGTTAATATTTCTAAATTGACCTAAATATACTTAAAAGGGGAATTTTAAGTTAAGACCTACCTGAAGAACCCATTATTACTTATAGTAAAAAACCACAAAAGTACACAGAGTGAAAACAAAACAGTGTTGTACTGGTAGCTAGGTGCTGTCCTCTGCAGAACTGCTGCACCCGGGCCTGCTTTCACCGTGTTTAGATGGAGGTTGACAGGCATTTAGAGAGGTACAGAGGAGCACCAGCTGCAGTCTTTCTCCTCTATGCAGTTAGAGGGACTGAAGGAGAACGGAAAAGGGACTACACTCTCCCCAAGCTAATGGCATGTCTGTGTACTACCTCAGAACATGTGTGGGCTCCACCTGTAGGATATGTCACACACAATGCCCCAAGAGAGACCACACACCCTGGGGAAAATCCAAAATCGGTCCTCATTAGAAGTTGGGTACTAAAGCCCAGAAGGAATTTCCATTCTTCCTCAGTCTCCAGATGGGGGGTGTGCAGCATGTACACTGCCTAATCTAGAGGGTGCCATGCACACTGCAGTTTACACATTGTCCTCTGTGTGAGTGGTGACCCCCAAAGTGGTTCAGTGCACAACCTGCACTTCTGTACTGGAGGACTGGCTGGTGGAGACAAAGAACCAGGACTGTTTGAGAAAGGGGCGAAGAGGATCTGCCAGCCGTGGCCTTTGCCCAGGCTGGGGGCGGGAAGCCGAGCCTGAGTGGGACCCAGGACCATGCCTCTCCACAGACACTGTGGGTGCTGTGTGCCTGCCGGCCGAGGAGCAGGATTTTCCGAGGGGTTCGCAGTGCTGGGTGTCTGGCTGGGGCCACACCGACCCCAGCCACAGTGAGTCACCTCCCAGGGCTCTGGGTGCAAAAGGGGTGTGAGGGTGGGGGGAGGTATCCTTCCCAAGGTGAGGTGTCTCCGCCTCCCCTGGCCACAAGGTAGTTTCAGCCCCCTTTTCCTCTGGCATCATCCTTGGACAGGCCTAGGGCCCCATTCTCCCCTGTCTGGGTCTTTCTGAGAGAATAACCCCTGAGTTTCCCCTAAACCAAGGCCTCTTTCATTCCCCTTGTGCCGGGAATGTGAAGGCCTCAGTATTCAGGGTGTATGCGTGAGTTCTACTCCTCCTCTTCACTCCCAGCCCCCAAGTCTGACAGACCCTTGCCCCCTTGCCCAGGGTCCACAGCTCTCACCCTAGGCTCCCCTTTGTGGGTCTCTGTCTCCGGGGCCTCTAACTCCCTCCCCTATTGCTGCCCTGCCTTCCTGGGCCCTGCTTTGTGCCCTGCAGCCTTGCTCTGTGTTGCTCCATCTCCGTGTCTGCCTCTTGCAGCCCACAGCTCGGACACGCTGCAAGACACAGTGGTGCCGCTACTTAGCACCCGGCTCTGCAACAGCTCTTGCATATACAGTGGAGCCCTTACTCCCCGCATGCTGTGTGCCGGCTACCTGGATGGAAGGGCTGATGCCTGCCAGGTGTGGCAGCACGGGGGCTGTGGTGGAGGGTGGGGGCAGGGGTCCTGCTGTGTCTTGGCCCCTGGTCTGAGCAGCCTCGCTAGGAGGGGTGAGGCAAGGTGGGATCCATGCTGGAACCAGGCAGGGCCTGGAATGCAGGGTCTGCTCCCCAGGGAGGTCTGGTGCCCCTCCACCTTGAAGGACTAACTGCCTGCCTGTTCCTCTGGTCTCTGTGCCTGGATCCCTAGGGGGATAGTGGAGGCCCCCTGGTGTGCCCCGATGGGGGCACGTGGCGCCTTGTGGGGGTGGTCAGCTGGGGCAGAGGCTGCGCAGAGCCCAATCACCCCGGCGTCTTCGCCAAGGTTGCTGAGTTCCTGGACTGGATCCACGATACGGCATGGGTGAGTGTGGGGGCCGGGTGGGCTGGGGAGGTTTGTAAAGGACCTGTCCTTTGGAAACTGACCCTAACTCCTTAGTCCTGGGCCCTGCTGGGGGCTGGGGAGGAGCTAGGGAATGTTCCCCAGAGTGGGAGGAAGCAGAAGTGACGCATATAACGTTGAATCCATGGGATGTCTACCCATTTAAGCATTGGCTGGGGAAGAGCAGACCTGAGTTTGTGTTGTAGCCCAGGTCTGCCATTTACTGTGGGACCCTGGGCAAGCTCCTAACTTGGCAAACCTCAGTGGCCTGGTGGTAGCCATCATGGCTACCTTATATGCTACTGTGAAGATTAAATGAGGTGAGACCAGTACAAGGCCTGCACAGTGCTTGGCTTAGAGTGAGTGACCCTGTGTTATTTTTGGATTTACTGATGCCCCCACCCCACCCTGGTTTCCAAGGCAGTCACTAGTGCCCACATTCCCTGCACTATGGAGAGAGCGCAGCATTTAGCAGTTTGGGCTCAGCAACTAATTAATTCTTGTGCGACACTGGGCAAGCCACTCAGCTCCATCTGTTCAGTGGGACAGCCAAGTGAGCTAATGTGTGTAAAAACGCGTTACTTGTATCAAGTACTTTACAAATGCCGGTCTTGAGAAGGAAAAGTATCTTTCTGCAAGGCTGGGCACAGGGTGGGGGTAGAAAATAAACTTTAGGATTTACAGGGGACATATGCATCCATCTTCTCATTCAAACCTTACAAGAAACCTAGAGAAGCAGATAATTTTGGCCCCATTTGAGAGCTGTGTGAATGAAAGTTCTGAAGGGTTAAGTGACTCACTATTGTAAAACGGAGTTGACTCGCTCGTGCCTGGGGGAGCCGTGCTGGGGATCCAGCTTCTTCCTCTTTCTGCTCAGGAATCCCTCCGCTAGGCCTGTTGTTTTCTCCATCTCACCGCATAGCAACCTCACGTTTCCTGGGGTCTCCGGCAGGTCCACTAGAGGGAGGAGAAGCAGCAGACCCTGATGCAGAAAGCACGGACCTCCTATCTCTGCACGGGAGACAGTCACCACCCACGGGCCAGCCTCCAGGCCGAAGGGCCTCTCCCCCAGACCCTGATTTCCAGTCCCTCTATCTCAACCAGAGAGCATCAATGACAAGAGGGGGGTTGGGGCAGGGTTGGGACCATGGGGGATCTGACGGATGTGCGGAAGCTGGATGGATGGAGGAGCTGAAGAAGAAGAGGCTGCTGGAAGCAGCTGGGAGCCCGCCTTTCTGCTCTCTCCCCTCCCCAGTCCCTGTGCCCATCTTTTGGGAGGATGCTCAGGGGTACCCTGGACCTGCCTTCTCCCTGCGCTCTCAGGCAGGTGGGGGAGGGGCAAGTGCCTCCCAGAGGAGCCCTTAGCTCTGGAGGCTCTTAGGAAGACGGGGTCAATGCTGGGCCAGCCCAGATTAAGCCCACGGAGTCAGGATCCTCTCCACCTTCCTGTGGTTGGTCTCACCTACTTCCTGTCCTGACCTGGCTCTGGCTGGTCCTGCTGGGGCTGGGGTGGGAGCAGGGGCCACTGTAAGAACACTCTGGTTGGTGTTGCAATAGGGTGTGGTTTTAAATGACAGTTCTGTGAACTGGTCCAAGGAGTTCTGTTATTAAAGTTTTGGTCCAGTTCTCCCTTTCTCCCTCTCTCTCTCTCTTACACACACACACACACACACACACACACACACACACACACACACACACACTCACTCACTCACATTAAGGGCAGAGGTACAATTTTCCTCCCATACAACTTTCTTAAAGCTCTGGCACTGCTTCCTCCTTATCTCTCTAGACTTTTGGAATGACTTATTTATTTAATTCTTTACATTTGTTACATTTCCAGTCATGATCTGCAACAAAAAGTGCCAGCCATCTAGTTGCTGAGATGCTACAAGCCTGAGAAACACTTAAATCAATGCTCTCTGCTCTCTTAGGGAGGGTCTGGCTTCCACCAACACCCAGCTCTCTTTCTCAGCTCTTAGCTTTTGTTTCAAAACGGGGCCTCTGACTTGGGGAGATTTGTTTCTGTGGTTATACCCAGTTAGCACTTTTCTGGTTAAGTTTCTCTCTGACTCTCTTCTCTCTAGCAATTAAAATGCAATTGGCATCTTGTTTCTAAAAACTGTAATGCATTTTTTATGTTGCTTACCCAAGGAAATGCAATTAGCATTTAGCAATTGCTTTTTTGTGAGTTAATCAGCATTTTTTAAGGGGTAGTACAAATGAATATTCATTCCTAGAAGGTCTGCTCCCTTTACATAAAGTGCACTAAAAAACAAGGGTCTCAATTTACTGTCCCTTTATTACTTGGGGAAGAGGTTGCTGGGAGTCTGCTGTCAAACTGCAGAGGCAGCATGTGAGAGGCCCTGGCAGAGGACAAACAGCCTCACCCTATGTTTGGAGAAGTCAGCCCTCCAGCCTCCACCCTGAGAGCAGCATTGATTACCCCACTCTGGGAAGTGCCACCTCAACAGGCAGTTTCAAGGCAGCTGATCCTACTGGGCAGGGAGGAGTTACCAGCAAACCCACATCTATGATCTTTTTTGTGCTTCTGATGTTAACCATAAGCATTTGCTTACGAGGTCAGACAATTAAGTTAGCAAACTTGTTGCAGTGATGTTGCTAACATTTTTCAATATCAGAGGGATTATTCATTATTAATTTGAGCCAATTGGACAAACAGTTAACCAAGTTAACTACTGGGTTGTCGGAAAAATTATGACGTATTTTTCTGTTTTTTCATTGCAAAAATGCGTCATGATGTTTCCGACAACCCAATGTTTGGAAGTGCTGAAAAGGCTGCTTGAAAAAGTTAGACAAAAATAACCAGAACTTTTTGCCAACAATTCATGGCTCTTGCATCACGACAATGCACCAGCTCACACAGCACTGTCTGTCTGTGAGGGGGTTTTTAACCAGTAAGCAAATAACTGTATTTGAACACCCTCTCTACTGAGCTGATCTGCCCCCCAATGACTTCTTCAAGGAAATATTGAAAGGAAGACATTTTGATGACATTTAGGACATCAAGGGTAATACGACGACAGCTCTGATGGTCATTCCAGAAAAAGAGTTCCAAAATTGCTTTGAAGGGTGGGCTAGGCACTGGAGTCAGTGCACAGCTTCCCAAAGGGAGTACTTCAAAGGTGACCGTAGTGATATTCAGCAATGAGGTATGTAGCACTTTTTCTAGGATGAGTTCACGAACTTGATTGTCAGATCTTGTATTTAAAAGGTTTTTATTTATCACAGTTATTATGATCAGTAACATTTGAATACTATTTTAGAGTTTATCAACTCTGTTCACATGTGGTATCTCATTTAAATCTCAAAACATCTATGTGGTGAAGATTTATTATTGTGACCATTTTACAGGTAAGAAAATTAGTTCAGAAAGATTAAGTGACTTTCCAAGACCAGCCAGGTACTAAGTGCTAGAGCCAGGATGTGAACTGTAGGTCTTTTTACTCCAAAGCCACATCACTGTTTTGCATGTGGATGAATGAGATGGTTTAATTTTGCATAGAAGTGTAGGATTGGAAGGTACTTTACCACCTGGTTTAGTCACCTGCCTACAGTAATACTTTTTATAGGTGAGGTAACCAAAACTTGGAAAGTTAAGTGACTCCCGCCAGAGACACTTAGGTAATGTTCTTAGAGATTTCCAGCTCTCCGTGAGATTCATGGTCTGACTTCAACTTTACAAATAAGTATCTTCCACAGGAGGACAATAAAGAGAACCCTAATTAGAGAATTTGCTATTAGTGATACCCTTTTTACCTATAGAAGCTCAGGCCAGACTACCAGTCAGATATACAGACTCAGAGCCTCTTACCTGCCCTTCCTTTGTCAGCACCTGCCAATTCAGCTCTTAGGAAAGTGAGAAGTGAGTGCATTCCTGGGCAGGCTGGCGGAATGCAGGGGTGGAGATGGGGGCAAGAAAGGTGGGGAGATTCAGGTCCAGAAGGATTTTTAATGAGGACCAGCTGGGTGCCCAGCTGTGTTAAGCTCTGTAGGGAATTCAGAGGTAGAGAAGACGACTGCTTTATTGGAGCAAAGAGACTTATTTGCAATAAATCACTAGTGACAAGCCAGCCAGGAAGCTGCATGGTGAGGCAGTAATTGCTCAGGGAGCTCCAGGGGCCTCTTGTTGAATAGACCCTGGCATTTTTGTGTCCAGGAAATCTGCGCTCTCCTCCTGGAGGATTCAGCATCTCAGCTGCCTGGGCAGAGCCTTTGAGCCTCCTGAGGCTTCCAAGGAAGGTGGCTCCTGGCTCCCTGCCCAGGGCGCAGCCCTCTCTCTTCTACTCCTCTGTGCGGTGGGGTCTGGAGCGTGCAGGGGCTGCAGGCTTTCCTTGTTAGTCCTTCGTTTAGCCCTGCTTTTCCTAGTAGGGTTGCTGTGAACAAGGGGGCAGCCGTGTCATTTCTCAGGAACATCTCTCAGGCTCTTTCCTGCATTTTATTTTTGGGAGTGCTGAGCTTACCCACAATAGGACAAAACTAGAAATGCTGTAAATGCTAAAAGCTGGTATAGTAGCAGTCAGGAAATGCTTTTCCTGAATCTCCATTGTTTTTTCTCTCTCTCCTCTGCGCTCTTCTGGCCCAACACTTAGGACCCTCCTCCTGACTACTCAAAAAAGAACCCACCCACACCTGCTCCCACCTCTCAGCCTGTCTCAGCATCCTGTGTCTGGGTCCCACCCCACCTGACTGATCAGACACACCGGAATGTATCTGCATTCGCTGCACTCTCTGGCAGCTGCTTCCTGATAAACTGATTGGAACCCGGTGTTGTTAATAGCTCTGTAAACTGCATCTTAACTACCCACCTCTAGGAAGGTTCCTAGGGAATAGCTTGCTTCTCCTGAGGGTGAGGCTGGGCTTTCTTCACATCCCAAGGCCAGGAGAGGGGCAGGCGTAAGTAGGCAGGCACCCTCTACAGATTCCAGGCCCGGGGACCCCAGGGCAGGCAGTCCAGGGGAATCTGCTGGGAGGTTTTTATCTGGAGTTGGTGCTGGAGTGGACCAAGCTGGGGACTTGCACAGGATGGAGGCTGCGCCTCCGCAGAACAGCAAGTGGCTCTAGAAGGGCAGTGTCTTTCGCAGGGCCGGGCCGAGCTTCTTCCCTTCCGAACATCCTCTGGCTGCGGCACCTGATGGTGGAGAGTCCCATCTGGGCCTCCAGCCACTTGTGAAAGTGCTGCCCTGAGCTGGTGACAGCCTCCCTGGAGTTTGGTCTCCCACCTGTCCAATAAGGGATCTGGCTGAGGTGGTCTCCATCGGACCTGCCTTGTTTAACTCAAACCTCCATTGCCTCTGGAGACATCTATCTGCTCACAACTTCCAGTGGGCACACTCATGGAGGGGAGCCTGTCCCCTGGGACAGATCTAAAGAAGCAAGCTAACTCTGGCGTCTCAGGCCATCCAAGGACAGCACTCACAAGCCTGCCTTCTGGGTCCCTGGGAGGAGGAGGCACCAGGCAAAAGATTGTCAAGTCCCCCGCCCCCCACACTGTCCCATGTCCTTCTATTCAGTGTCTGTATCCTGGTGAAGGGTTTAAGGACAAGTCAAACCCTTGACCTGGCACTGGTCTCAGGAGCTCCCAGCTCCTTCCCGACACCCCAGGCTCCTAAAACCAGCGGGGGAATTTCCCCCCTACTGCGAAGACCATGGACAAACTTTCCTTCTGCCTGTTTTCGCTCGACAGCTCCTAAGCTGGCCACAGGACACCCTCTGCTCGCCAGCCTTCCCCCAGGCATGAGGCAGAATGGTGAGGAAAGCTTCCGCTACAGCACAACCATTATCAGGCAGCTTGGGTCTGAGCCGTCCTCTGTCCCTAGCCGTGTGCCAGGCTCAGGGAAGGAGGGTCCTTTCCCACAGCCCTCAGGTGACCCCGCCTTCCTTGTTTGCTCAGGACTGTCCTCGTTGTAACATAGAAAGCCCCATGTCTCTGGAAACCCCGCAGTCCTGGGCGAATTGGGACAGCGGGCCACGCTAAGCCCATCACCCCTAGTCTGTATAAATGGAGCTCTGCAAAATGTTGGCCTTCCCCAGTCCTCCTTCAGTCTGGTTGGGCTGAAAGGAAGCCTCCCCTGGTAACCCAGCACTGGAGGACGAGAAGGTTCCTGGGAATTCTCAAGGCCTAGGCTGTTTTCTAAAGGCTGCAATCTCAGAGGTGCTGCCTTGGCTTCGGGGCCCTGAGGGCAAGAGTCCGTTGTTCCCCGGGGTCTGCAGCTGATCTTGCTGTGCCTCTTTCCCACGGTGACTCCTCAGATGGGAGCCAGGACAGGCGTACCTCATCATGCCTAATGTTTTGAACATGCTACTTTGGTCTTCCCGGGCCCAGGTCTCCTGCCGTTTGGGGGAGGCAGGAGGGTGGGGCAGGTGTAGTGCTGCTCCTTGAATATTCGTTTCCCAATTTCCCCAAGTCTCACTGAGTACTGGTCCCCAGACTGGTACGGGACTCACCATGTGACAGGTGCTCACTGAGCCCCGCCAGGAGGAGGAGGAGGGGGGCTGCTGCCCCATGAAGCTGGGCGTGTTTCTTCTCCTGACCTCTACCTTCTGGAGGGGATCGGAGAGGAGCAAAGAAGAAACTGCCAGACCGCTAGAGCCCACAGGGATTTTGTGGGATTTGTTTTGCCTCAGCACTGTCTGCGGAGGTG